AAGTTTGCAAAATCCGGCAGGCAGGCAGGCGCGAGGTGCTTGCCAGCCAGTTTCCTGTTTGTGGGGCAGCCGGGGCCCGACGGGGAGGGTTTAGCTTCCTCCCTTCCCCCTGCCACTGGGAGCAGCCTTGCACTGTCACTAACATGCCATTTACAAAATTGCTCTCCCAATGTTTTGAGGATTTAATGTCATCCCGTTACCCCCAGTTCTTTTGGTGTGAGAGATTGAGCTGTTTACCTCAGACTCAGACCCTTGAAGTTCGGCCAAATTCCTCAAATAACTGTTTTGGGGGGGAGGGGATGAAAGAAGGTTGCATTTTGTTTACACTAAAGACATGGAATATGGACAAAAGGAGTTTTCCTTTAGAAACACACACCCCTACCCTCCTCCTGCTCAAAAGATCTCACTCCATGATGCTGTGTAAACTATTTTTGCACTGTTGTGAAGTATTTTTGACATCTTTTTTTTTTGTACATAACTGTGTTCTCAGAGCTTAATGTTTATATCTTTTGCTGTGCAAAAGAAACATGTAAAATGGTGTTCAGTTGTATATACAGAAATGTGTATAAAACATTTTGTTATTTTTTAAGAGTAGCACTGTTCTGGTTCTGTTTGCTGGCCAGTGGGGAGAGAATAAAGAGGAACACTTAACAGAACAGGCCAGCGTCTGGAGCTGCTGCTGAAGGTGCTTAGTGGGGCAGTGTGAGGGGGTGTCCTCTCCCCGGAGGGGTGGTGTCAGTCTTTTGCCTTTTTGGTGCTTACAAGGAATTAGGGAAGGAGGCTCTTCCTAGCACTGAGCCTAGGGCTTTCCTGGCCTCCAGGAAAGATGGGGGGGGGATCTGCTTTTTTAAGTACATCTCAAATCCTTCACTCTTAAGTTGTATGAACATGGACTTTTTTGGTCTTTTGGAGTTAAGTTTTCGAGAGGCCACAGTGAATTCTATTCCCATTCTCTGATGGAGGAGTGACTTTCGAGGTCTGCTGACTTTTCCCCCTCTCCCTGGGGGCCACACCAAGGATCAAGTGGAAGGATGCCACACAATCTTTTCCTTTGCCAACAGCTCAAGGAGCTTTATTTATTTATTAAGAATTATTTATTTTATTCATTATCATCACCTTGGCCAGAAAGAGATGGGGCGAGAGAGAGAGGGAAAGTGAGAAAAAGCCACCAGGTCCAAGACTCAAACCGTGATCAGTTATGTGGGAGTCCAATGCCTTAACCACCACACTACCTGCTGGGCCCCAGCTCAAGGAGCTTTAAAGATGAACCAGAGACCTAAAGAAAGTCCCCAAGGGGCTCTCTGAGAAGTGGGATTGTCTTATTTTTTCTGAGAGGAACACTAAGGAGAGGCAGAAGGGATGAGCTCCAGACGTGGTAAGGGCTCATGGTGCAGGTGGGATGGGTGGAGAGGCAGGTCGCAGAGCCCGTTTCCTGCCCTGCTGCAACCCAGTACGACCCAGTGGAGGCCAAGGCGGAGCGGAGCTGCTGGAGCTTGGTGTCCCGAGTGTCTGGTTCAGGTTTTTCGTGCTTTCTGTGTGTTTATTTCTGTTGTAAACTCCAAACAGATGTGTCTAGTTTGCTGCACCGGATCAGCTGGAAGTTGTAGCAAGATGATGCCCAAACTGTGCCTTCTGCAAATTATTTTTTCCCTTTGCCCCTTTCAGCCTCTTTTCCCGTGTTACAGAAACGGATCTCATTTCTGGCCTTCCCTGGTGTCCTGAGGTCAGTTTGCTTTGTTTTCATCATAAATATGTTCTGAGCGGCTAGACCCAGAGATCCTAAGGAGTCTGGAATTCACTGGGGCCGGAGGAAGGGAAGGCAAAAGATTTGCTTCCAAATTAAGGGGAGTGGTTCAGGCATAAGATTATCTTTTAAAAAAGAAAACTATGAGTGGCTGGCAAACATTTAAAAAAATATTCGGTCTTTTCTTAAGGGCTTTGGGACAAGGTCCAGGCCTTTGAATCTATGACATTTCGGTCCAGCTGAGGGCTTCTATCCCTCTGCCCGAATACTTCAGCTCTACATCACTGAATGTCATTTGAAACCAGAGGTCAGGAGAGCAAAATCCACACCGCCCATTCACCCACATTGGTGCACTGCCACGCCTGTCCTCACCTGATCAGCAGACAGCCGTGTGGGCTGTTACCACCCTGCGTGACTAGATGTCACATCCACACATTGCCAAGTTCCTCTGCTGCTCGAAACTGATGAGGACATGAAGGAATGAGAGACTATGGCTAATACTCGAGGGTAGGGCAGGATGTATGTGCCTTCATTCTTACTCAGTTTCTGTGTCCAGGGAGAATGCCAAGGTTGGCTTTCATCTGTGACCTATGGGGATGTGGTGGTTGCCCAGAAAGTTCAGACAAATGACATTTAAACCAATGCTGTCAATAAATAGAAGGCAACTGTCTCTTTAAGGCCTGATTTCTCCTCTTGATTTATAAATTGTAGAGGAGGCTGAGGGACTGAAGAAGAAAATCAGCAGGAGGCAGAAGAGCCAGCTCCCTTCCTCCCTCTTGTCCTGGTGTCCTCCCCCACCTTCCTCCCTCTCTTTTTGGCTTTTATCCCCACAGCACCCCAGGGCTCTGACTGATGTAATTCTAGAAGGGATTCGCAAAGGTGATACATGATTCACCTCTTCTTACATCTCTGTCTCGCAGGGATGATATCACTAGAGTAAGAAGAGATGTTTTGAATGAAAAGAAAAGAAAAAAAAAAAACTTAGTATGCTTCTGGCACTGCGAAGGCAGCAGGGAGGTGAGGGGAATGGCAAAAGCAAAGCCAAGGAGTTCCAGAAAGCACCTCAAGTCTGGTGTACTCGGCACACTGAGCTTTGCCTTCTTGCAAGGTGAGGCTCGCGTTTCTCCTTTATGTAACCTGATGGTATTTTAAATGCGGTGAGACACTTTCCACGTTCTTTCCCGGCCCCAGGGATCCTCCGTGCCCAACCACGCAGCGCTGACTGCTTGGAAAACGGAGTGACTTCCGGTGGCAGGAGCCGTGGTTGCAGGGGTGGCAGTGGGAGCTGGAGCAGCAGGCATCCATCAGCCTTCTCGGTACAAACATCCCGTGATTGCTTCCACAATTTGTGGTGTATGTTGAGGGGGAAGGAGGGAAGAGTGGGTTGGTACAAAATAAACAGCAGTTTTGAGTTTCAGAGAGCACCCCCACCCGATGCTCCTCCCCAAAGAAAACATCCCTCCCACTGCCCCACAGAACAGTAGGTTTCAAACAACTCAGAAAGGCTCTGTTATACTAAGCACAATTCCTTCCAGGGGACAGAGCTGTTTTCTTCGAGGATTCTGCTTGTGAAAGGAGAGAGAACCGGCTGGTAGAATCCACCCCTGGCACCACCCTGGAGATTATCCAATCTCACAGGAGTCGCCAAGGATCACGAGGAATACAAAAATGCTATTAGGAGCAAGTTGCCCTCCTTTCTAATAGGATTTCATAATGTCCTAAGCAGGGCTCTCGCTCTGCGTGGCATGCCTCGTAGCCTGGCATCTGCTGGTAAGTGATGCATGGCAGACTTAGAAATGCAGTGGACAGCAGTGGGGAGGAGCCCCATCTGACACGTGGGAAACTACTCGGGGCTCCAGGCAAGCAGAGGCTGCGGGGGCCAGGGTGCTCCGAAACTGCACCAGGCCACCTCTGGACCTGGCTTTGCCATTAGCTGGAACCTTTTCTGTTCCTGTACATAGTCCCTATGTCACAGAGCCAACCCCCGACTGTCGGCTCTGAAGTGAGCTGCCTTGACTAACCACCATTCTGGCGGTTTGAATGACTAGGTGACTTGGGAACTTGGCACACGCTCCTTCTCGGGAGGTTCAGTGGCATCACACTAGAGCTTAAGCAATCTTACTGGAGTCACCAAGGATCATGAGAAACATAAAAATGCTATTAGGAGCAAGTTGCCCATTTTTCTAATAGGATTTCATAATTTCATAAGCAGGGTTCTCTGTGTGGTGCGCAAAGTCCATTTATTTATTTATTTATTTTTAAAGAATTATCCATTTAATTTTATTTATTCATTTTTTTTTTTTTTAAATTGACGAGAGAGAGAGAGATAATGTGAGAATGAGAAAGCAAGCCACCAGGTCTGGGACTCAAACCGTGGTCAGTCATGTGGTAGTTTCCAGCGCCTTAGCCACCACACTGCCCACTGGTCCTGCAAAGTCCATTTCTAACCCTCAAGGAAACTGGCCCTTCTGACAGCCTCCTTCTCTGCCTCCCTTGTCCCTCTCCCATCCTTCTTCCCCCTGTTAACCGTCATTCCTCTCTGCCTCCTGTTGCCAGCTCCCCCACAAGTCCTGGTTCATTTCTCCCCCTTTCCACAAACCTAGCTCATGTCTGAAATCAACTAAAAGAAAAAAAATAAGCACACACTTTAAGGGAAAAACAAACCAAGCACACAGGCATCAGCTAGCACCAATCCTGCAATTCCAGGGTGTGCCCTGGCTGTGGCTCCACCTTAGATATGCACAAACTCAGGCACAGAGGTAATGTCCTCTGTAGGTCACAAAAAGGGACCAAGACCCTAACTCCTAAACCAATGCTCTTTTCACATGCCTCTGGTTTTTATGGCTTATGACCAGATATTTAACTTTGGGAGGGCAGGAACCGTTAGTTGAATTTTTCTTTTTCCTTTTTTTTTGGTTTTTGTTTTGCCTTTTAAAAATTTTTTTAAAACTTTATTTATTTATTTAACCACAGAAAGAGTGAGACTGTAGTTCGAGTCCCAGGCCTGATGGCTTGAAAATCACACCGGGCTCATGTGCATGTGTGCTCAAAATCCCAGGAGGAGTATGGAGGAGAAGGAATTATAGTGTGGCCATCCCCCCTGGGGGGTGGTTTCTCACTTTCCCTCTCTGGAGAGAGCCCACACT